CGAAGTAGGCATTGCGCAACTAATGCTGTCCCTTGAATTGTACGTGCCTCAATGTATCACCTTGTAAAATTTTTTTTGTAAAAATTCTAGCACATACTGGAGCTACTACACTCTGATTTACATTAAGTACGACCGAAGCGAACGTTCATATTAAAAATAGCACAAAAGAGATGGGACAAAGAGACGAAGAAGCACACAGGACAAGCGCTAACTGGCGACTAAACTATATTGTGCTTCTTCGTCTTTTTGTCCCGTCTTTCTTGGGCTATTTTTAATATGAATGTCCATTACGAACTTGCACAGCAGACCAAGCCTTTACGAAGCGAACGCTTGTCGTCGTATTGATTTTGGCATGACCGACTAAAGTAATTACGGTAATTGATTGCGCTGCAATACGTTCTTTTTTTTTTTTCTTTTTGTGCGCGTTGTTTGTCTGTGGGTATCAAACGCATAAAGACGACGATTCTGGTGACGATGCACTCTATGGTGCTGCTCAATTACCTCCGTTACATCGTAGCGTTCATTGTGGTCGGAATTAGTGTGAGACGAAGTATAGTTTTTTAATATACATTTTGTTATATTCTCTTAAGAAAGGTTGCAAAGTCAGTACTGGTAAAAAAAAATGTAAGAAATAAAATTGTTCGAGATTGTAATTTTAGTTATCCTTTTTGTCTGGATTAGGCCACTCATTATATGAGCCGTGTTCCGTGCAAATTCGTTGTTTGTGAAAAATTGGAAAGTTGAATTAGTAATAATACTTTCTCGGCCATTCACTGGTGCTGGGCGATGAAACCAAAAAGAAGCTGCTCGAACCGTATAATAAATTGCCAACGCTCAGTAGCAATCCACACCTGCTTACTAGCGTACACTAAGTGAACATCAGCAACAGTGTCAACTAATAAGTATAAAAAATCGGATTAGTAGCATAAATACTTGCACCAGTTATAGAAACCTAGGATATAATTCGGGTATTAGCACAAAAAAGTAGAAGTGAAATTATCTTAACGGAAATCTGCTACACCTATGTCCTATATATGGTTAAGTTATTAGGTAATTTTGGTGAAGCGATTTAAACTGTTTCGTTCATAATTGAATCGGGAGCCCCTACTTGAAATTCAGGGTCACTGGTTAAGAATATAATAATTAATCCTCAACTCCTATTGTTTTTTGTTGTTGTTGTGGTTTTGCGTTATAAAAATATATATAGAGAAATAAATTGTTTTCCTCCCCTGACGCAAATGAATGAATTAGTCCATCTGCGTTTTTCCTATATTTTACTCTAAATTTTATTCATCGCCTAGAGTCGCTAAAAGCAAAAGTCTTTATTACTTTCACGTTTTGAAAAAGAAATTGTGGGGAAGACAAACGGCGGCGTTAAATAAAAATCCTCCCAGCCTTTTTGTAGTAAATGCATCTAATTTAAATTTATTTTTTTAAGCATGAAATGGGTCTTTAACGAAACCCGCAATCCTGAATGTTTTTACGTCCGTCTGTCGGTTCGTACGTGGGTTTCCGCCTACATTTCGAGGAAAATTCATCCCGTGAACTTACGTCGTAAGACCTATACATAAATTCTAGTTTTCCGCTAAATTTAGCGGTAAAACTAATGTTCCGTGACCTGACGTCACGTGCCCTATTACATTAATTCAGTTTCCCGCTAAATTTAAGGCGATAATTGACGTTGCTTGTCCTTTGTACTAAGTCAATTTCCTTGTTAAAGTTAGCGAAAATTTCATAAATAGATGAGATCTTCATTTCCCCAAACGACTGTTTAATGACTTCAAAACAAATTTAAACAATCGCTCCTCAAATACAGGATTGTGGGTATCATGGGGGCTTTAGACATGAAGGTTGCAGTTTTGCTGTTTACCAGACAAATTTCAATATATGATTTCAAACGCGCTGGCCTACGACCGTTGCCACGGAAAGCAACCTGTCCAATCCGGACGTGGGGATATCACGGTCACCCTATTTCAAGGTCCCAGTCGCGCGCTGGTAAAACCAGACTACTTTGCTTTCGGGGCACTCCACATTCCGGATGACGTGGTCTGCCTGGTCACAAACCCCCTCTCCCAAAGATAAGGAGAGATCTTCGGACTGCGGGCGAGCGGCCGGGATTCGCTTCGGCATCACGAAGGAACGTTTAGAAGCCGCGATCCTATGCCGGCCACTTCTCAATAAATGGCATTTTCAACGCTCCGTTTCTGGAGCAACAATCGCTCGCTGGTGGGTCTTGAATGTGTAAATATTGAAACACTGAATACACGAAGACGGTACTAGGAAATGTAAGTAAAATAAGCAATACGCATGAGCCCGCTGAAGTCTGCTGTCCGTCACATAGGTCAGACATTTCGGACCGGCTTGCGCTTACTTAGTTGCTGGGCGGGCGGCTGGACCGCTGGGTCGCCAACTCGCACCGCCGAATTCTTGGGACGAGATCGTTCAATAAAGCTAGCTCGATAGACCTCTATCTGTTCTCAATGGGCGGCAATATGTGGGCATCGTTTGCGCTCAATGAGTTTCGATCAAAGATATATTTCCTTGCAACTTCATCTACACAATGAACCAATATGTTGAACGAAACAAGAAGTTTACGCACTCGCGTCACTGAAGCGGCCTGCTGATGAACACAGCACACTTACGCACTAACGTCTTGGGATGAATTCTGCGAAGTCCTCCCGATAATATCTGGTGGATTTCACAGACCCGCTTGAACGACCCTGAAAGGCCACACATACCTTTTAGAACGACTCTGAGTGAACGCACACCTCTCAGAAAGATAATTTGATGGGCCCCACAGACCTATTAGGGGAGCCTGGCGGGCCCATCAGGCATTTCAGGATATCCTAAAAGGCCTTTCAGGCCCTTACAGGAAATCCTAGTGGGCCTTACAGACATTTTTTTCAATAGGGGAGCCTTCTTTTTCCCAGACTAAAATGTTTTCGTTACCATCCCACAGAAATGCGAAGGTGGTTTCTCTTGCGCATTCTTTAGTTTTTTACAATAGCAACTTAGCTAAGTTTTTATATTTAATATATATTTATTCTTTAACGCTCTTATTTAAAAATTCAGAGGACTATCATTGCTCTCGATTTGAATCGTAAAATAATAGAAGTTATACCCTTCTCTAGCTTCCTTTATAAAGTTCGCAGTATTAAGATCAAAGCCGTCTGTTGCGCCCTCTAAGGAGAAGAATAAATAAATAAATCCGTGCACTGCCCTAATGTTATCTTGTAATGAAGCAGGCAGCTGGAGTTTAGCAGAGAGAATCTTGTTAGTTTTTATAAAGATTCTCGTTATTATTTTTTTTTAACACTATGGGGTGTATATCAATGTGTTTTCTGTTTGAATGCTTTAGTCGCCCAGTTCTTAGCTTGCAAGGAGTTGTTTTAGCCTTCACTGCTCAAAAGCTGTGATACGGCTCATAAGCCCTTTCTTGAGAGTGTCATAAGGAACATCCTAGGGAGGTCCGCCGAGGACGTCCCGTCCTAAGGCTGCGGTAGATTGTGGGAGGGCTTCGACAACGCATTCCTGCCACAATCTACCACAATTTGTGTGCCAATACCCGAATTATATCCTACGTTTCTAAGCCTGGTGCAAGTATTTATGCTACTAATCCGATTTTTTATACTTATTAGTTGACACTGTAGCTGATGTTTACCTAGTGTACGCTACTAAGCAGGTGTGGAGTGCTACTGAGCGTTGGCAATTTATTATACGGTTCGAGCAGCTTCTTTTTGGTTTCATCGCCCAGCACCAGTGAATGGCCGAGAAACTATTATTACTAATTCAACTTTCCAATTTTTCACAAACAACGAATTTGCACGGAACACGGCTCATATAATGAGTGGCCTAATGCAGACAAAAACCCTAATTAAAATTACAATCTCGAATAATTTTATTTCTTACATTTCTTTTTACCAGTACTGACTTTGCAACCTTTCTTAAGAGAATATAACAAAATGTATATTAGAAAAACTATACTCCGTCTCACACTAATTCCGACCACAGTGAACGCTACGATGTAACGGAGGTAATCGGGCAGCACCATAGAGTGCATCGTCACCAGAATCGTCGTCTTTATGCGCTTGATACCCGCAGACAAACAACGCGCACAAAAAGAAAAAAAAAAAGAACGTATTGCAGCGCATTCAATTACCGTAATTACTTCAGTCGGTCGTGGCAGAATTCCAACGACGACAAGCGTTCGCTTCGTAAAAGCTTGGTCTGCTGGGCAAGTTGGTAATGGACATTCATATTAAAAATAGCGCAAGAAAGACGGGACAAAAAGACGAAGAAGCACAATAGAGTTTAGCCGCCAGTTAGCGCCTGTCCTAGCTGTGTGCTTCTTCGTCTGTTTGTCCCATCTCTTTTGCGCTATTTTTAACATGAACGTTCGGTTCGGTCGTACTTAATGTAAATCAGAGTGTAGTAGCTCCAGCATGTGGTAGTATTTTTACAAAAAGATTTTACAATGTGATACATTGAGGCACGTACAATTCAATGGACACCATTAGTTGCGCAATCCCTAATTCGACCGGTTACCTTCTTAACATTGGAGCCTAAAAAAATAAATAAAAATGTAGACCAATCAGTTGCGCTTGCTTTTCCGAGAATGAATTATCATAAGCATACTTTCAGAAGCAGCCAATGAACGTAGACCGAAATTGAAATAACGTACATTTCTGGCGCAATCGAATTTCGACCCATTTACGATTGCCTAACAATTTTCCCCGTGCCGTCTTGTCCCCTTCAAGGTTACGCGCGACTTACGCAAGTCCAGCGATCTCAAGGTCTCCTTCGAATGAGGAAAAGGAAGCCTCACTCATTATTTCGCTCGCTATTTCTGTCCCTCTTCCTCTTCCTGGTGCCTAGCGGCGGTCGCGTGCCGACAACTCATCGGACTGCTTTGACGTTTTCACTAAGCACTCCTTGAAGAAGGTCAGATCGGAAGAAGCCATCAGCTTGACCACATCGCTCCGGGTCTAGCCTGTCAAAGTATGTCTTTCTCCGGTCGGCGTGCCCTTGTGACGGGTGGCAGCAGCGGAATTGGTGAAGGCGTTTGCCGTGCCCTCGCCGAAGAAGGTGCTCAGGTGATTGTGGCTAGCACGGGGCTTGAACGCGCCACGGAGGTGGCTCGATCTCTTCCGGGTAAGCTGGAACTTTATTCTGATATCCGTGATCGAAACACTGTGATCGGTTTGATGGATATGAAGTAAGTCAGTGCTCATCTTCATCAGACAACGTCGGCGAATTATGGGTGCATGTCTGAAATGAAGATGACGCCGATAATATAAAGCGCATGAAAGTTCGAAAGGCACGAGCAATGAGAGCGTCGGTTTTAACATGAACAGGAGTCGGCCTGGCATGAGGGCGTGTAATAGAAACGTGTGGCTCTTGTATTGGACATGGGAGGATCGGTTGTAGGGCACCATTCACATTGCCATTATCCGAAGTCAGTTTTTTTTCGTGGCAGACTAATCTTTTGTTTATTGAATGCTCATACATCCGCTAGATTATACTAAGCGTGCATTTACGGAATAGCGGCATCACAGGGATTGGGTGTGGGAGTAATTGCGACAGCTAAATGCAGGTGCTTCCACACATGAGACACTCTAAAAAATAACGTTCTCCCCATCAGAGTGCCGAACCGAACTTTTAGAGCGCAGCTCTTAGGGGCCCGTTTCCAGCCTGAGCGGCGTCGCCGTTGGCGTCGGCGTCGCCGTCGGCGTCGCCGTCGCCGTCGGCGTCGGCGTCGGCGTAACCGCGCCCCTCCCTCTCCTCCTCCTCCCTCTCCTTCTCCCCCTCCTCCTCACCTCCTCCTCCTCCCCCTTCTCCACCTCCCCTCCTCCTCCCCCCTCTTCCTCCTCCCCCTCCTCCTCCTCCCCCTCCTTCTCCTCCTCCTCCCCTCATTGTCCGGCTTGAGCGGCAAGGAGGAAAGCAGTACGAAGGTGGAGGAGGGGGGGAGGAGAGACGAGGAGGCGGAGGCGAGGGGAGGGGAGGAGCTTGAAGGACGAGGAGGTGGTAAAGGAGAGGGAGGGGGAGCAGGAGGGGAGGAGGACTAGCAGGCATGATCACGAGGGAGGAGGAGGAATATATCCTCCACTCCTCCTCCTCAAGAGCTGCGCTCCAATTCGGCGTTACAGGAAGTTGTAAACGGCTTTCACTTTTTTTTTATCGGCTCAGTTCGGGTAAAGGTTCACAGCCTTTCATTCACTTGAGGTTCAGCTCTCCGTAAAGCAGAAATAATGGTTTAAATCGGTCCGAACCGGTTTGAACCGCTAAAAATGAAATATCTTTTTTGGGACATTTTTGGCAATATAAACACTACTTTCTCAGTGAAACAAGTAGCTCATTATTGTCTGTGCAGTGAGTGTTTATCTTCAAATAAAAGACGCAAGAAATGGCGCTTTTGTAGTTAAAACGGAACTGAAGCGGTTTATTATTGGAAATAAAGCGCTTAAATCGTCTCTCTGTGCCAAGCGGCCACAACCGTGCTTTTCAAATAGCGCTGAAGGCCCACCTTTTTCCTGGCGCGTTCTGTGAGATGAGGGAATCGGGAATTCATAAAGAGATTACATTTGAAAGCGTCATTGTAGGCAGGGCTTGCTGGGCTCTTAAGGGGTGGAATTTGTAAATCACGCGAAAACAGCTGACCACTGATCGTTTACTATCTCAAGGACCATTACTTTTTGGCAAAATCTTTCTAAATTTATGCGGTCTTCAGTAATAATTCCTATCAAGGCTGCGATTACAACATGACCCCTAAATCCAATATTTAAAATGTTCTTTACAAATTTTACTTAATTTGCCCACTTACCATGACACTTATCCCCTCATCTAATCTCCGTCGAACTTGAAAAATGCATCGCGAAGACGACACTCTTGTAACAATCATCTCTTTTTTTTTAATGTGTTCGAATTCAAATTAGACTCCCAGTAGATATAAAAGTGAATTAATGAATAAATTCTGACAATATAGAGAAACGTTACAAATGTTTTATTTTTAAAACATTATGATGTTATAAAATGTTGTGATGGTCCCAACTGAAACCTCCGCGACTGTTGCCTGCGCCAGAATGGTGCTCACCCATTTCGAAAAATAACTCTTTTTTAAGCAGTTGCTTTGTTTGTTCTAGGGAACCAAGGTCACCAGGCTTTTTTCGTTGACGTTTCCAATGCTGATTCAGTAGCTGCCCTTTTCGAGAACATCAGAAAGTCGAGCCCTATTCCGCTCAGCATCGTCGTAAACTCTGCCGGCATTTTCAAGAAGGGAGATTTGGTCGATTTCAAGCCCGAAGAGTTCGATGCTGTGATCAACGTCAACGTCAGGGTAAGCCACGTTAATTTATTTTTCAAACCTCTCTTTTGCGACTTATATGGTATGTCACGCTCCTTTTTCCCATGATGCTTTACCTTAAAGGGCAACTCCGGTCAAAATTCAATATGAAGTAAATTGCTGGTATCGCTGTAGTGACACAAAATATGACCCCAGTCAAAATATTACGTCCGTGGGACGCCGCATTCTCAACTAATGCCGACAATAAAAATGCGACCCGCCGCGAGCCGCTGCTCCTTAGCGGGCGGCCAGCGGGTTGCCGATCGCTAAAGCAACATTGGGCCGTGACGTCAGTATCGTTCTCTTTTTTCCCCCAGTCCGGGCGTTACGCGGAGTGCGCTCCTTAGAGCCGCTACCACCGCTGCTTCGGCTTGTGATTGGCGTGTTTAGCCGTTGCTTTTATCTGTAGCCCGTGTAGCTTCGGTATAGCTTTTTGCTTATTTGCTTGTGAGGACTTCAATACTCGTTTTAGCGAGCAACTCGGTGCGCCCAAGACTCCCCAGCTGTTCCTCGAAAGATGCCGAGTGCAACTTGTAGCGCTGTGGGCTGCTCAAACAACCCGTTGCGCAACACGGAGCTGCTTTTTCACAAGCTTCTAACGGATCGGAAATCGGAGAAGGTGTGGATGAACGCTTTTCGACGAGTGGACTTAGGATTTTGACTTTTACGCGCCCGAGGAAAAAAGAACGAAAAAACAGACGCGTACAGCACAGCACACATGTGTTCGGGCGCCGCGGCCCGCGCCGGAGAGCCTCAAGGCTTCGTGTCTGAGACTGACCCGCAGCGCGAAAGCGAGAGGGCCCCCAGTACTGTACATCACTGGCAGCGCGCAGTAAAGCAACGCCGCTCCATCCACGGAGCCCCGATGACTATTTAGGCCTAGCGACCAGCACGGAAGACCGCACACACTGCGACAGCCGCCGAGTACTGCACCGTACGAGTTCACGGGTTTTTCAGTCACTAGTTTTTGGGTATACCCCCTAACTCTTGCTACATATGCTGGATAACTAACACGCATACAGAATTAAAAGCAAATCAGCTTACCTCCTATCTTTAGACGGCTAGCGCAACAGGGGTAGGTGCCGCTCGGCCTTTGTAATCGTCAAACGAGAACGATCCTGACGTCACGTTCACATAGCGGCTGATTTCGAGTGTTGCCGGGGTCTCGAGCGGCCAGTTTCGGTTTTGTTGGCCGCGCCGCAAACACAACTTTGAGGCGTCGATATCTTTAAAACTACGCACAACAACGAGAACAAAAATTACACCTTGCAATTCAGGGACGCTGACTGCACTAGAAACAGTCATAATCCCAAAATCGCAAGTATGGACCGGAGTTGCGCTTTAAAATGTCACGAACGCCCCAACAAAATGTCTTTAGAGGCACCAAGGCAAAACGAGAAGTTTGTAATTTTGCGAAGGCAATAAAATGAATAACAATAATAACAGAGAATGGAAAAAAGGAGTTTTCTTCTTATCGCTCAACTTTACCACGTATCCTAACGTTTAGAACTCATGCGTTCGTCTATGAAAATATAGTCAATTTCCAAGTTTGTTAAAAAATCAACCAAGTCTCTTTTTTTTCTTAATTCATCTACACAAGAAAAGTGTACACATCCCCGGGACAGTCGGATCCGCTCATTCAGACAGGTCGACGCACTGAGAAACGTCGCTTAGGTTATCTGCCCACATGTTTGCCAGGGTTCCTAGCGGCAGAGTACTTAGCTGCGACTAGTGTTTGTGTCGATAGATTTGGCTCTTTGCAGCGCCTGAGGAAGTACTAGCTGTGCAGTGCGCTCTCGCTCCAGCTTTTGTGTAGCGTTTAGAGCCACCTCGTCGCAATGAATGATCCACCTTGTCGGAATGGAAGCGAAAGTACTGGGCCAGCGCAGGGTGCCTAGAATAAGATAACTTTAAACTCGTTTCACTGCTCAATCGGATTCATTTGGTTCATGAACACCATTTTGCGTCAAAACGCGAATGCGAAGCAGGTTCTGGCACAGCGTTCTCATGAGACACAATGACCACCGAAAGATATATTTTTCTAACTCATGAAACTCTCAAAATTAAAAGAAACCTAGTGTGCATATAAAATTTTCCATGGAGACTTTATACAATTAAGTGTGCAATTTGTTTAATGTCCTTATTCTCATGCCGTCCAGGGGTACATTGTCATTTTTATATTAAAGTAGGTTTGTCTGTAAATTGGTTCAACACTCGAGTAAATTTTGCTGTACTAGTAACTGAAATACTAGTTCTCAATATTGTTCTCTATAGCTATTAGGTTTTTCATTTTGCCTCTAACATTTTTATTAACTGAAAGACTATTTACTAGCAACGATGAAACAAAGTCCCAATTTACGTTTCGAGCAGTACAACTTGTTCCCAAGTATTGACAAATTTCACAGCGCAAAATAGATGCCGTTGAAGCTGACTTTGGCATTCAAGCAGCAGTACGAACAAAATGTGTGATTTACTCTGTCATATAGACTGCATGCGAGTGCATCCCAGGAACGTCACGCCAATGAAAAGCGTGGGAAAGTAATGTAGGTTATTTTATCACTTTTTGCCGTTATTTTATAGTTATTAGGTACGAAATACTATAACAGAAAAAGTCAATCCCTGTCGCGCTGAAGATATAAGAGGTTTAAATAGCTCAACAAATCGGCGGCCTTTAAGTGAGCGCGAGGAGTACATCCTAATAGTGATTGCCTATCTCTACATTCACGGGTTATGAGGCACACCCAAAAGAGGTTGTGAACGCAAGCTACGCCTGAAACTTTCGACCTCAACAATTGACGCCAGGCACGGGCACATCCTTTTTGAAATTTTTCACAGATCTTGGCGGACAGCGCCGCTTTTCTACCAGCCTTAAGGCCCGTTCACACACTTCAGCTTGACTTCGACCGACCGAGACTAGACTGGTTTATAAGCCTTTTGTGATGGTTTAGGACCGTCTGCATTGCTGCGCAGCCAGTCGTAAGGCGTCCTAAGAGGTTTTGAACCGGTCTTGTCTCAATCGGTCGAAGTCAAATGCAAATGTCTGAACGAGCCTTTATCCGGGAAGCCGGGCAAAGTTGTCAAAGATTAAGTTATTCAGGGAAAAAATAGTCCCGGTCAGAACGGCTCGCGAAAATGGTCGCATGTGAACGATTCTGGGAAAAAAAAAGTTCATTCTAAAATTTGTTTGGGCTGTTTGTTCGCTTTTCGCCAATCTGTTCGATGCTTGTACGTAACAAATGTAGCAGACGATACCTAGTCTGACAATACACTTACATTTTAAAAATGCTTGTAATTTTAACTTCCAATCTAATGAAAATGTTAAAAGGTATTTTTTTTTGCAATAAAGTCCACTGATGACTTGCATTAATACCAGCATCGCGCGTTGGTGCATTGGTTGGTGCGTTAAATGTCGAGAAACGTTTAGTGGATACACATTTAGTTCGTGAAAATAATATAATAATTTTATAAGTGTTCAGTTTAAATCGTGAGATTTCTCATGAAAGGACGATAGCAGAGGTTGAGCAGAACTTTATTACTATGTTCGCTTAGTTAAATGAGGTTGGATGAGCCTAGTGAGTGCGAAGCCTTATACCTTGAAGCCCCTATTACGTGCGACCTCTCTCATGCGCTTCCTCGGCATCCGCGTCACCCCGCCTCTGCCCGTTTCGCTCCATGCCAATATCTGCCCTGGCTAGATCTTGGCGCCGGCCCGCGCGTCGCTTTGTTGAGGCTGACTCCGACCGACGCGCACCAACGCTGACGCGGGCGAGTCACGGAAAAAAAAATTAAACTTCCTATGTGGCAGGGTCTTTAGTCCAAAGGTATCCTCGCTCAGTATCTGCCACTGTAGTGTCAGTCTTATGACTCCGTTGTGCACCACAAAATAGTCTTTTTTAGTTATCAGCTTTGCGAAAATTTAGATACAAAGAGGCGTCCTTATATGCCTGGAAGTTGTTTGAAGGCAGATACTTAATTCACTCCTGGGCAGAAGTATGCTTTCTAATAGTCGGTTTCTGAGAATATAAAACAAAATGCTTCATCACAATGAAAGTGCACAAAATGTAAGTCGAAAATAAATTCAGACCGACAATTCGCCTATTACATTAATTAGAACCTACACAAGGTGTCGAAAAATGCACGCGGAATAATTTTGTCCAACAGATTTTCCGCTCATGTTAGCAACCTACAAGAACCTATGCAGGCACCGCCCCGCGGAAGGCGGGCATTTCACTGTACGATTTGCCTGAACCTGGCATGTGCTTGATTAATGGGAACAGTGCAAAACATGAAAATCGAACTTCCATGCTAAGCTTTGCATTTTGCTCCAAATCCCTACAGGGCACTTTTCTGGTGAACCAGGCGGCAGCCCGCGCCATGGTGGCAAGCGGGGTAAAAGATGCCGTCATCGTAAACGTAGCAAGTATCCTGGGCAAATCACCGCACCCCAGTGTCTCGGTCTACGTCGCTTCCAAATTCGCCGTGATCGGGCTGACCAAGACGATCGCGCAAGAGCTCGCTCCCAAGGGCATCCGCTGCAACTGCGTGCTCCCCGGTTTCACCGAGACCCCAATGACTGCGCCCCTGGCTGGCGATTACAAGGCAGACCTCCTGGGCAAGACGGCCCTGAAGAGGACCGCTCGGATCCCCGAAGTGGTCTCCGTCATCAAGTTTCTCTGCAGCCCGGAGAACTCGTATATGATTGGTGCCGCTGTTGAGGTGGCCGGTGGAATGTTCCTCTGAGCGGCACTCACGTATGGCTAAAGGCAAGCTCACACATTTGCGTTTGGATGTCATTGGCTCCGTTGCATCAGCGTATGACCTCTTACATTGAGGGAACCGACTTGTATCCGTATACTGGGCAGCCACGAAACAATCCCGATCTGTGTATATATCACGCACCCTCATTCTTTCACCCTGTGCTTCAAATAATTCAGTAAATGTGGTAAAAAAACACTGTTCATGGAGAGGGTGTAGTTTAGATCTAGCAAATACTGCAAAAATCTTCAGTCTAGTTACGCGGAGATCGGTAATGTTCTTTGGATTACTGTTAGATGGCGCCACTGTGGCAGTGTGTCCTGCTGTAGTACGGAGTTTCGAGCTGTTGCAACGGAGTCGATTACGGTCTAACGCACATGTGCGAACCAAAGCCAATTTTCGTATAGTGTTGCGAATTCGTCAAATCGAACTTTACTGTTCCAGGAACTTTAAGGAATTTAATCGCTTCCTCGTAATATTTTAGCCAAATAGAAAGAACGGCATACTTAAGGTACTTTATAGAATAAATATAAATTAGTTGGGCACTGCCCACAGCAGCTAACTGTAGTGGACACATAAAGCTTGTGGCACATGCTTTTATTTTAAGGAGTATTATGCTACATTAGGACTCAGCTCCGAAAATGGCCGTTTGAGAACGTGATTTTTTTTATGCTCGACCAAAACTAATCCTGGAATAAAAACAAAACACGCTTTTATAGGCAGACGCGGTGAGAAATACGTAAAAGTTATATTGTTGAAGTTTTACGAACGTAAAAAGAGAGACTCAAATGCTCAGGTATTTTTGCTTAGATGCCTAGTTCATCTTTGTATTACGTTTACATAAACTCAAAATACCCATACACATAGTCAAAAAGAAAAGCACTCAATATATACGTATTTGTTCAACCATTTTTAAACAGATCTATGCGTCATGATCAGCTTCAGATGCCGATTTCCCACCCTCTATTTTCCTAGTTTGTGATGGCATTATAATTTTTTAGGTTTATAAAATTCTCCTATTACGTGCTGTACCTCTACATGGCGTACATGCTGCAAATGAAAAGCGAATGCATCTCTCACTTGCGTTTAAAAAATGTGCGGCACATAATGCTACTATGTCACGAAACTAGTTTGGGTCCACATGCTAGATCGCTCTTGGGCAAATCCTCTTTCTTAATATTCCTGGCCTTCATCACCTTGAGAGTGATGGTGTTAAAAATAAAAAAAAGAGAAAGCTTGGGTTGTTATGGTCGTAAATTCATCATTTCGTAAGGCTCTTGTGCGAACACTTCAGAGGTGGTCCACTAGGACAGACTCGTTGACACCACATGTAGCGGAATACTTTCTTCAAGTTCTTGACGCTCTTGGGCTTAGGCTCCTCTGACGCGACTGAAATCTCAACGGCTGCCGAAGCTAGACTCATTCTACAGTATACGTCTTGCCCTCAATTTGCGGTTTTACGCCATGAAGTAATTGCAAAAAAGAGAGCAGCCGTTCTGTTTGAATTACTTAATATTTCACGGGCAATTTCACAATAAGAATCGCCATGGTCATGATGACACCTTGAGAAACACATATGACAGCGGTCTGTCATTGGGGATTGCCTCGAGAAAGATGCGTACACAAAAGCGGGCGATCGGGACTACGGCAACTGACACACTGTCGTCAATCAGACCACTGGACTGGGACAAATATAGTACCTGATTAAATTATTGCTGGGCTCCGTTCTTCATTACATTTAGGGAGGCAATGGCCGAATCGGCTCTCATCTTGGCATTTATATGTTGTCGGTCCCATCGTCGAAGTCCCGATTATCCCCGTCTTGTTCTCAGTCGATGTCAGTCGTGTGCCTTCGCATAACCCGGGAATAACTGTGCAGCTGGTGGAGAAGAGATCAGTATTGATAAGAGTGCAATCAATGCTTGATTTTGGAAGAGTGATAAATCAGTGGCGAATTATGTTTCTCTACATCAAGGCGGCCGTTTGTTTGCAAGAAGCTTGCTCTCATTTAGAATTCGAAGATGGATTGTGGTTCTTAATACTATTAACATAAGCAAAATAAAGTTTTTTTGTTTTTTTTTTAAATACAACAACAGAAGAGTCGATGTGTCAGTCTATAATATTATGTCTAGGTGATGAAGGCTGTTAAAAAATTTAAACTCAGGGCATGTATTTAACTGAATGTTTTTACTAGTACAAGCATTTCGATTGGAACTTTAAGGCTGAATGGCGTGTTAATATGTATAAAAATTTGAATATCTTTCAGTACTGTCAAAATTATTTCTATATATTTTATTAAATTCAGAATATAATAATTTGGCTCGTGGAACAATGAAAATTCGTACTTCCATAAAATATATTTATTACAAAAAGGCGTTATTTTTATTTATGATGCTTATGATCTTCCCACAAAATATTTCTTATAAAATTAACAAAGATATCTGCTTTTAGCGAGTTTATATATGCATGAAATTCAAAGTAAAATTCAAAGAAAAAAGAGGTGTGCTATTTTTATTATCGCCAATGTGGAAACACTTTATAAATCACTTTATATGCTGCTCTGAATTTTTGACGGCGGCTTTCAATCCACTTCTGAAAAAAATAATAATATAGTTCTTTGATCGTGGCTCATTCCTATCAGACATAAGCATATAAACATTGTTTCAAAATAATTTTTAGTTTTAGTGTATGTGTACTAATGAAACACATACATGGTGTTTTCCTTTGGAGTAACAAAAATTCAAAATCGTGTATTCCAGGTAAAAGCATTATTGTTTCGGGACTGCATTACTCGTGGGTGCGGATGCCAGAATATTCACGATACTTACTAATTAGTTTGATAATTAACTGAAAATGAAAAATTAAATTTTTAGTTACTGAAAATGTACATGTGGCTCCCATTAGAAACTTGCTGAGCGTCATCAAAAACCCCAAAATCAGTAATTTTTATAAGGACTTTGAACGCGTGAGAAGCGGAGTAGTGCGCTAAAGTTGCCACTCGTGGAGCAGGTACAAGGCTAGCGGTTGAGGTTATTCGACCGCCCCGAGCGATTTGTCTGTCTCTTATAGCCAATTCACACGACGGACCAAATCACGATTTTCGACCGCGGACAATTTACCACGTGACCGCCACGTCACCGATTCCTGCGATCCGCGTCTCGTCCGCGAAAGCGCGGACTGATAACGTCGGGCGCCTCTTCACTCGCAGATTTTCGGCAGGAGATTGACTTGCAAAGCTTTAAGCATGGCAACGGTACAATATTTTCTTAATTTTTTTTTTGGATGATTAAAATAAAAATGGCACATCGTTGTATTTTGTGTGTTTACTTGTTCACTTTAAGGAAACTGCAGGCACCTTGTCCGGCTGACGCGACGCAGGTTCCGGTACCCCTCTGGTTTCGTGCCAAGAGGCTCCCGGCAAAACTTGTCTAGCACGCCGCAATAAGTCCTGCACGTACGATCAGGCTTTTACCGAGCACGATCTTCCTTGTGACTGTGGTCTGCATGAGTTTTGTGCGCGAGCGCGGAGTTCCGTAAGGCATATCTCCAAACGCGCCTCCGCCAACCCAGAAATCCACCGTTTCGACGCCGAAGCCTTCTTGAGCAGGACCATGCCTGCGTCTCTGTCTTGTTTTGTGATAGTAAAGCTCGTGGCGCTTCGCGCGCAGACTGTCGCGGTGCTCTGTCTCGATCTGTAGGTAACAGCGGCGTACGATTCTTTATCACGGTAGCAAACGTCGATTTATTTCTTGGACAACAGTGCCACCGTGCGACGTTGAGGTTTCGCGGCACTGTGGGGTGGCGAATAGGTATGCATGGTCCGGCCTCGCTGGCGTCTGATCGTTGTCTCCCTCGTGTGGATGCGTTTGGGAGATGGACGAATTGCGAGCATGTCGTCACGTGATCAATCCGTCGGCGGATCAGTCCGTCGTGTGAATCGGCTACTATGAGAGCCGCAGCCTTGTACCTGCACAACGAGTGTTATATTTAGCGCACTACTACGCTTTTCACGCACTCAAAGTATTTGGGAAAATGACTGATTTAGGGATTTTGGATAACGCTGAGCAACTATCAAATTGATACCATATGTCTATTTTCACTATTTAAAAAGTTATCTTGCAATTTTGAGTTAATTATTCAAGTAATTGGTGGGTATCGCGCATTTTCTGATGTCCGCCACCACGGCGAACGCGGTCCCGACAAAGTTATCCTTTTACCACGAATACACTAATTTTAGAAATGTTTGCACTTTTACGGGAAACACCCTATATATTCCAGCTTGTTACCCCTGGTCAAAATATTGATGCCCTTACAAAGTTTTAGAATAACGTACGCAATTTTAGCTCACGCGAGCGCTATATTGAGCGCTTGCGTTAGCGCACGCGACGCAAGAGAGTTTTAGAATAGCGTTTCTCCGCCGCGACGCAAAATCCCAAGCATCTCTCGCTTGCAACGCCACCAAGATACAGTCCCGACCTTTATTTCACACACGAAATGCTTTAACTTCAGAAAAAAGACAAGGGTGTTGGTTCAGAGTAGCATTTTATGTTTGTTTAAACGGGAGAATGCGACACGAGCGGTCGACCGGTCGTGTCCGCGTGCATCAGCTCGGCAAGAGTGTACTGACCTTCGCCGATAAATGTTCGATCGTCGCAAGCATCAAGTTGCCGGTGATCGTTGACACTTTACTGGGTTTTCCAAACCAAGTGCAATGTTGTCCCGCATTGAAAATCAAAGTCGCGAGGATACCGCCATTTTTTTTTTTTTAAACTGTGCTTGTCTTGGCTTTAGCCAACTTCTCATGACGAATCCTCCTTGGAGGAGCGCAAAGACCCTTTGCGTACGCAAGCAATTTCCAAGAAATAGCGTGCGCTAAGATAGAAAACGCAAAGCGGAAAACGTGTTTAGCGTTCGGCGCATTCGCAGTGGCGACGACGCTGCTATTTGCGCAAACAAAGCTTTAGCGTGCGCTATTCTAGAACTCC